AAAATCCGAAAAAAAAAAATGTGATGCAACAACACAAAATAAGCAACACTTGGTCGAGCATCATCTTCAGATTCTGATTAGAATTTGAGGAAAAAATAAAAATAATATTGGATTAAAAAAAAAAAAAAAACCTCGTACGGGGCCCCTAGCGTACGAGTACAAGAGTACGAATCTGTACTCGTACGAGGGTGCGTACAAGTGGCAACGCAGTTTTTTTCCTTTTAAAAAAAAAAAAACAAAAAAAAACGGCATTTTTCTCTTTTTGCAACCTACTCCTACTCTAAGTTTGTAAATATTCTTCTTTTTCTGATTATCTGCAGTCCGAGCACCGAAGGTTCACATTTGCCTTCTGCATCACCTTCGGTACTTCGTGGGATTGGACAGTCTTCTTTCAAATTTTCGATTCATTTTAATATATATTTTTTTTTAATTTTTTTTTTTTTTTTTTTTTAGGAGATTGTTCCATTTTTGGATCTGTCCGATCTTTCCCACTTGTGTGCTGCCTGCCTACCTGTTCCTCCCCCTCTGGGCACGACAGTGCATGCCACTGCTCACTCGATCACAGACCAAGGCCATGGACCGGAAGGCGGGAGAATCCCTCCTGGCCTATGAGGAACACCTGGCTGCATTCATCCAGGAGGCCAACGATAGGACCGCCGCCACGGCCAAGGAACGTAACTGGATCGAGCAAGAAGAGGAGGCCAAGCGACAGCAGGAGAAACAGGACCGACTTCGTCAAGAGGAGGCAGACCTGCAGGCTGCAGCCGAACACCGGTCACGCCAACGGGAACGACTGTTCACGCGGGAGACTGTGATCGGCGATGAGATCACACATTGGGTGGAAATGGCATCTGCGGACGAGGCCTCGGAGACTGACAAAGGGCTGTCAGCCGTTGCGCAGATCTCCCACGACCTCGTGGCCACCTGCGCTCTGCATCAGGAGGAAATCCTTCACCTGCAGCAAACAGTGGACCAGATGCTTGTACGACTGCAGGCGTCGGAGAAACAACCAGTTGCTGCAACAGCCGCAGGGCCTTCCAACCTTGCCACCCGTGTTCAAGTTTTGGAGGATGACGTCAGCAACATCAAGCGTGTGCATTAGGACTTCTGGACGTCACAGCAAGCAACAAACTTGCAGTTGGAGACGCAGGTCCAGGCTGCTGCTACCGTGACGCCCGCGGCCGCATCCTCCCGACGCCCACCCAAACTGGATGACCTTCCAGTTTTCTGCGATCAGTCCAAGACGGACCCGATCCCGTGGTGGCGCCAGTTCACTCTCAGGCTCGACATGCACCATGTCCTGAACAACGATCGACATGCGTGCTTGTACCACCGATCTGGTGGTGCATGTCAAGCATGGTTGGACAACATATTGACCAGCCACGGCGTAGCAGTGTCGGAACTGCACACCAAGCTTACTTAGCAGGAGCTGACGGACGCCTGACACAAGCGATTCCAAGTGGAGCCGCCCGACTTGCAGGCGATGGAGAAGTTAAACAAGCTCCATCAGAGCTCGCTCCTCAGTCAGGACTGGATTACCGAGTTTCAAAGACTCGCCTCCACACCCGACCTGCCGCTCGCATTCCACGGCGTCAAGCACTTGTTTATCATGCGCTTGTGTCCAGCCCTGCAAAACGCGCTGACGCAGATTGCAGAGACACTCGACACGTCGGACAAGCTTTTCAGCACAGCGTCACGGATCATTCTCACAAATGTAGAAGCCCGCAACGCCGGCCGATCTTCCGCGACGTCAAGCAGCTACCAGCCCAAGCCAAAGGTGGCTTGCATTGCGGCGACTTCGCCAACTTCTTCTACCGAGGCTGCAACACCAAACGAGGGTGAAGTGCTGGCAGCTGCCCGGGATGGTGGCCGGCCGCGCAACAATCACGGCCGCGACAAGACGAAGACTCAGTCCACCTCTTCACCGGGCACCGGATCAGCAGCCGACGAACCTTGGCTCCAATACGGACTCTCGGCGAAGTGCTACCGCACGAGACTCAAGTATCGTTATTGTTTTTGGTGCAACAGCACCATCCACGATGTTGCACATTGCCCCACCAAGGGGAAACCCCGTTCGGGAAAGTAGGTGCCGTCGAGGGAGACTCGACACCTCCCTCGACGCCATCGGAAGCGATTGTGTGCATGACCGCCCTTTCTTCCGAGGCATATGCGGATGTCGGGAGTCTTCCACTTTCGTTCGAAGACTTCGCTGCCCGGCTCGTTCCTTCGCTGGACGCTTCTCAAGGACAAGATACGTGTGCGGCTTTCTCACCGTCCGAGGGTTCTTCCGTCAATTCGTCTTCATCAAGGGATTCGGCAAGCGTGTTCAACGAGGAGGTCTTGGACCCGCTCACGCCCGAGGATTTTGCTTGGGTTCCTCTCCCTACGACGGGCAGCCTTCCGGGGCTGCAAAGCGCAACACTATGCGCCCTCTTACACGAGTATCTCTCCTTCCATGCACCACCAACTTCGCCGACGGTAGACGAAGTCGCGGTGGGGGACATGCTTGGCTATGTTGCCAAGGTGGCCCGCGAGTTTGCCTCGCAACGATACGAAGAAAACAACGCACCGTTGCTCTACGTCCGCATTCAAATTGGGCAAGCGGCCTGCAACGCTTTGCTGGATTGCGGCGCAACTCGCAACTTCATCAGCCAGTCCTTCATGACTCGGGCTGGCCTTGGGGCACAAGTACGGAGGCAGTCACATCCGACAACGGTCGCTCTTGCCGACGATAAGACGAAACAACTCTTAGACCGTTACATCTCGGTTGTCCCGGTGTATTTTGCACCACACGCATGTGAACCCGTCACTTTTGACGTATTGGACACCGACTTCGATGTCATTTTGGGGATGCCTTGGCTTTCTAGCGCGGACCACACAGTCAACTTCCAGCGACGCACGCTCACGATTCGTGATACCGTTGGCACCGAGGTCCCGTGTACTATTCCTCCTCCTCGCTCTTCCATTCGGTGCCAAGTCGTGAGTGCCAAATCTTTTCGAGACACATGCCATTTCGAGCACATCGAAGAGATTGGCATCGCGTTTCTTCGAACCGTCCCTACGACCGACTCATTGTCCACGGATTTGTCTTCCGACCCCCGTGTGACCCGGTTGTTAGACGAGTTCTCGGACGTGTTCGAGACTCCCTCCGGTATAGTGTCGGACCGGCCGATCTCTCACGAGATCATACTTGAGGTTGGGGTCGTGCCACCTAAGGGATGCATTTATCGCATGTCCGAGGAGGAGCTCACGGTTCTCCGTGCGCAACTCGATGATTTACTTGACAAGGGTTGGATCCGCCCTAGCAGCTCACCTTACGGTGCGCCCGTTCTCTTCGTTCGGAAAAAGAACAAGGACCTTCGACTGTGTATTGACTATCGACGCCTCAACGCGCAAACCATCAAGAACATGGGGTCTCTACCTCGCATTGACGATTTGCTTGAGCGTCTGGGCGGCGCTAAGTATTTTTCAAAGTTGGACCTCAAGTCGGGCTATCATCAGATTTCCATCCGCCCGCAAGATCAGTACAAAACCGCGTTTAAGATGCGATATGGGCATTTTGAGTGGGTAGTTATGCCTTTTGGCCTCACCAATGCCCCGGCCACCTTTCAGGCGGCCATGACCACCGAGTTTCACGCTATGTTGGACCGATTTGTCTTGGTCTACTTAGACGACATCCTCGTCTATAGCCGAACTCTCGAGGAGCATCTCGAGCACCTTCGCCGTGTTCTAGAGACTCTTCGATCAGCCCGGTACAAAGCCAACCGCGACAAATGTGAGTTTGTCCGGCAAGAGCTTGAATACTTGGGTCATCTTGTATCCCCGGAAGGCATTCGTCCATTGGCGGACAAAATTCAAGCCATCCAGGAGTGGCCCGAGCCGAAGAATGTGACGAACGTCTGATCCTTCCTTGACTTGGCCGGTTATTATCAGCGCTTCATCAAGGGTTACTCGAAGATCGCGGCCAACCTAAGCAAGTTACAAAGCGAGGAGCGGACTTTTGACTTCGACGACGATGCGCGCCATTCTTTTGAAACACTCAAAGCAGCACTATTGTCTGCCGAGGTGTTACACATTTACAACCCACTCCTAGCTACGCGCGTCACCACCGATGCATCTGGCTATGGCATTGGGGCCGTTCTTGAGCAGCACGATGGCACGGACTGGCACCCGGTCGAGTACTTTAGCAAGAAAGTGCCTCCCGTGTATTCGATCGACGACGCACGAAAGAAGGAGCTTCTTGCCTTCGTCCACGCCCTCAAGCGTTGGCGGCATTTCCTCCTTGGTCGGCAAGCATTCCGATGGGTAATGGATAACAATCCGTTGGTATTGTACAAGTCAAACGACACGATCAATAGTACCATTGCCCGTTGGATGACTTTCATCGACCAGTTTGACTTTTTCCCTGATCACATTCCCAGGAAGTCAAAACCGTTTTGCGGACGCCCTCTCACGGCGACCGGATCTTTGCACCGCAATCTACTCTACCTTCGAGATCGACGACGACTTGCGGGAGAGCTTCATCCGCGGTTATCAAGCCGACCCCCACTCTCTCGACAAGTACGCAAATTGCTCCTCTCCGAATCCGGTGCCTTCGCATTATCGGATCCAAGAGGGCGACTTGCTTGTGCATTCACGGGTTAAGGATCTTCTTTGTGTGCCAAGTGATTCACACTTGCGCACACGGCTTCTTGGCGAGTTTCACGACGCGCCCACCTCCGAACATTTTGGTGTCAACCGTACACTTGGCCGATTTCGCCAGCGGTTCTATTGGCCCGACCTTCTGAAGGACGCCACCCGCTATTGTGAGTCGTGCGAAGTCTGTCGGCGTTGCAAGTCACGCAACCATCGTCCGTTCGGCGAGCTACACCCACTACCAGTTCCCCTTGGGCGACGGAAAACGATTGCTATGGATATCACCGGCCCCTTCCCGAAGCACAAGACCTGCGTTGATGGGATCCTCACGATCGTCGACCGCCTTACCAAGTACACCATGTCTTTGCCTTGCCGCTATCACGCAAAGGCACTGGAGTTAGCCGAGGTCTTATACACCAGTTAGATTCGCTCCAAGGGCTACCCCAAGGAGATCATTTGCGACCTGGACACTCGCTTTCTCTCCGACTTTTGGGTCGCCCTCGTCAAGCGATGGGGCTCATCTTTGAAGCCGAATTTGGCTCGCCACCCGCAAATCGATGGTCAAACGGAAAGGGCGCATCAGACCGCTCAAGTCCTTCTACGCACTCTCATCCGTCCTGACCAGGCTGATTGGGTTGAGCGCTTGCCAGACGTCGAGTTGGCTTACAACTCATCGATCCATCCGGCTATCGGGATGTCGCCGTTCGAGTTTGAGCATGGTTCACCCATCTCATCGCCGCTGGACGCCATTTTGTCGCGCACAGCCGAGAGCGACGACCATCTTGCATTCCTTCGTCGCATGCAAGAACTTCTTGTCAAGGCACGGGATCAGATGTCAAAGACGCAAATACGGATGAGCCGTCAAGCCAACCGCAATCGTCTYCCTTGCCCATTCCACGCCGGCGATCTGGTTTGGGTCTCCACCGTGGAGTTCAGCCTTGAGCAAGACATCTCTCGCAAGCTCCTTCCCAAGTGGATGGGGCCTTGGCGCATCCTCTCTGTAGTTGGTGATGATCCCGAGGGGCCTTCATTCCGCATCGCGGTGCCACCTCACTTGCCCGTCCACCCGGTGTTCCACTGTTCCAAACTCGCTCCTTTTGCTTCAGCGGAGTCCGACGAGTTTCCCGGTCGACGTACGCAAGACCCTCCTTCCATGGACGAATTTCAGGAGGCCGACTATATCATCACCGAGCGGTGCCATGGCAACAAAGAAACGAAGTTTCTACTTCACTTCTCCTACTGCAGCCACAAGGCTGACCGTTGGCTGACGCGTTTGGAGCTGCAGGCCACAGGTCCCGCTGTCCTCTCACGTTATCTTAGCAAGGGGAAGACTACGCCGAGCACTCCAGCTCCTCGCCATCCTTGCTACATTCCTCCATCGTATCGGCAGCTTCGCCCGCGCCCCGACTCGTCTTCATAAGGAGGCGGGCGTGTTACATGCTGAGAGCCTACACACGAGCCCCTCACGGGACCCGAGGTTGGAATAGGGCCCCCAAGTCGCGTCACCGCA